TGAAGGACACGAATGCGGTCATCCAGAACATCAGTTGCATTTGCAAGGTGCTGTGCTCTACTTATCCCGACTTCGTCGTTCCTGTCATTGCCCTCGTGATCCCGCACCTCGAGTCTGAACCCCTCGGGGCGCGCCCAGCGCTGCCAGATGGCATTCCGCAGGGCAAGTTGCGAAAGCTGTCAGAGGCCATGGTGAGGAACTTACTGGCGAGCATGGCCGACAGCGCGACTATGAAGGCGAAGGTCTCTGCGGGGTGCGCGTGCGCATCGGATGGGGACAACGACGTGTCTTTCCTGAGTGACGTGATCCAGTTCACCGCGATGCCCAAGCACAAGCTGAACGTCCCCCAGGACAACCTGAACGCATACTCGTCGATTCTGTGCTTCTGCCAGCTGCAGGGAGAGTTACAAGTTCCAGGGAATGGCAACACCCCAGCGAGGACGATCAGCAGATACACCGCGATGAAGCGCCACATCATCAACGCTGCATTCAAAGCATCTGGCATGGCAAAGAAGCCCAGCGACCTTGAGATCTACTACGCCGACGCAGGGGACGACAGCCAGCTTGCAGAGTCGCCCAGCAAGGCGCCTCTGGAGGAGAAGACTGACGAGACGCTCTGACCTTGCAGGACAACGGTTCGGCGGCCCGCATGAAGTCCTACCTGATGGTGAACCCGATCGACAAGCCGATCCATTTGCACATGGCAGTCTGCGGGATTACGAGCAAGGTCTACACGTCTATGATTGGAGCATGCGGTGGTGCAGAGGGCAAGTCTGGAAGTCCAGATAGCCAACGTGAGCTGATCGAAGAGGCCACGAAGCGCGCGGTCACTGCCGTCATGGATGAGATGCCGTTGGCGTTCGACGAGATAGTGATAAACTTTGGACAATTGTCGGAATTCAAATTTGCTTTGACAACTGTTTCAAACAGGAGTGACTATGCCGACACGCAGCTTCTGAGGAAGACGTGCGAAGAGATGGGCGTGATCGGGGCCACCGGCCGCAAGAAGCTGAACATGGTCAGGCTGAACACGTTCTTCGCAGCGTGCAGCACGTTATCTACGACGCAGGCCCCCCTCAACGGCACTCCGAAATACATGTTTGGCTTGCTGTCTGTGCAGGACGTCTTCAAGAAGATCGCGGAGTCCATCGAGAGCCAGCGGTGCGGAGCGCAGGAGCCCATCGATATCAAGATCATCACCAAGGCCATCGACGGCGACGTGTCCATGGCTGTCTTCGGCGACTGTTTCAGCAAGGCTGCCAGTGCCATATATATGTCACCACAACCACGTTAGCCAGCCCCCTCCTGAGGAGGAGGCCAGCTGACGTGGAAGATGTGGCATATATCTGGAGGCGTTTGCTGAACTGGTGGTGACGGTGAACAAGGTTTGCCCGACCAAGGCGAAGGCGCATCACACGCTCGTCGCGGGCCTGAGGGGGGAGCTGCAGGGCTTCACTCATACGCAGATGAAGGAGTTCGTCGTGTCACAGGGCTTGCAGAATATCGAGGTGCCGCCATCCATGGGAATCTTCTCGTCTGTGAAAGCTGCGCTGGTAGAGGATGTCATGACTGCGGTTCAAAAGAAGTGTGCCGACACGACCTTGGCAGCCACGATCCTCGTCGGCAACGTTGGCGACAAGGTGACGATCCTGCGCGACCAGCTGGCCAAGGCAAGCGCCACCGCTACAACTGCGGCGGCAACAGCGGCGGTCGTGGCACCGACTGCGGGGCAGACGACTACTCCAACCAAGACTGCCAAGGAACCAGTCCCCATCGCCGTCGACGACGGCAAGGGCATTCCCCAGGGCGACTTCAACCTGACCAGCCTGGGGGTCACGCAGTGGATCAGCATGCTCACCGATGAGGACCGCTCGAAACTAACATACAATATTAATGACACCAGCTTCCTTCTCGCCCTCACTTCTTCTCCCCGCCTTTCTTCCAAAAATTAAGAGGAGCTGAAATCCAACGGGCCCGGCCACCTTGCCATGACCAGCGCGACGAAGGCGCGGGTGATCGCCTCTGTGCAGGGCCATTTCATGCCACCCGCTGACGGACTGCAAGGCCGCTTTCTCCGCGACGTGCTGATTGACTTTTCCAGGAAAAAGAGCGTGGGGACCTTGACAGCTCGTCTTGCGGCAGACGCAACGACCACGGAGGCTCCCGAGTTCGTTCGTTGGGGCAGGGTGGTAGATGCGATCGCTGCGAGGAGCCTTCCGCGTGGCACTCTGCTTCCACTGGGGACAAGCAACGGTTTGAGTTTGTTCCTGGATGGCTCGAAGGTCCTCAACCCTTTGGTTTCAGACGCATGCGTCGCATGGATGCTCCCGATGATCAAGGACGACCTGGACGGTGAGACCAACGCCGATGCTGCCCCCTTGGTGGACAGCGCGGCCAACCCTGAGGCTGGTGCATGCGCAGCTGGCAGCAGCAGCGGTGCCCAGCCGCCCAGCAAGAAGCGCAAGGGCGCCTCCGCTGCCAAGGCGCAGCAGGCGCAGCA